ACAGATTATGGAAGCTGCACAAATTGAACAGTAAATGAAAAAAGTTTTTCATTTCTGCCTGTGGCAATAATATATACTGTATGCTACAGATGAAGTAGGTTAGGTTGAAAAACTCTTGTCTAATCCCTATACCAAACCTTCTGTGCTTTGGCTGTCTGAAAGAATTGAAATCATATTGTAATTATGCCACACACCATGGGGAACCTTAGTGGTGTTGTACTGCTGAAAAGATAGCAGGAGAACCAATTCAGCCTTAGCCTGGAGGTCTGCACTTAATTAGTATGGGGCCGAGGTGAATATTGCTACAACTCACAGCTGCGTATGACTTTCTGTCACCTCAGGTAGCTGCTCATTTATAATAAAACATGAAAGAAGAAAGCAGATGGACTCTTGATCACCAGAACAAATTGTACAAAAAATGAGCCAAATCTTTATTCTTTGTGCATACATAACCCTTTCTACTTTTTCTGTGTATTTACCTCACACACACACACACACACACACAATTCTAATTCTTTTCCTCTATTTTCTGATTACTATCTCACTCATAGACACCCTCTCCTGCTTTAGTTAGGTGCGGGAGATGGACAGCACTAACCTTAATAAGCCAAACGACACTCTAACAAGCCAATTAAGACCTCAGTCTCCATGGCAACCTACGTAGACAAAGAATCAGGCAAGAATCGGAGGGAAAGTGAGTGAGTGAGGATGAGAGAAAAGGGGACAAAACGGGAGATAAAACCTTTATAAGTCCCATCTTTCTATAATACTTTTTCCTCTGCTCTATTCTCGTATTCTATGTCAAGTTAGAATGATTAAAAACGGAGAGATTAGTGGCGATACGGTCTGCAACTCTACAGGCTTTCAGGACTTTGATTAATGAGGTATGATTCACACTCTGCGGCTGCTCTCTCGGCTATTGCTTACCGGCTCTTTAGCCTCATGCCATTACTCAGCATGGGCGCCAGGCTACACAACGCACCGGCCATTAGTTATTAGCTCAGGCTGGACGGCACATCTGTCTGGATCCCTAGAGCTCAAGCAGGGATAAAGAATAGACATATAGCAAGAGAACATAAATTTTCTGTATGTAGTGGGCACTAATTAATGCCGTGAGCAGCTTCACTATATATGCCTGAAATAAATGCCTGTGAGTATAGCATTACTAATGTACTGAAGGTAAACTATCTGTAGCTACTTCTTTACACACACACACACACACACACACACACACACACACACACACACAAATTATCTGTCTCATCAACAGCAAATACCTCAAATAGACCAAAGTATAAATTGGCCCATTTAAAATGCTGCTTTTAAACTAAAAAAGATCTGTGTATTACAGTGTGACATTTACAGGGACGGATTAACAGGTACAGCACTCAATCATCAAGCTAGTGTAAAAATGGAGTTGCATGAAAAGAAATATACTTCAAAGTGATCTTGAGGTAAAAAGGATGTTTTTTCTGTCCATTATCATGTTTTGTATACTTTTCATGATTGCTTCTACCATATTTTAGCTGTCCTGTGAGTTCTGAGCAATTCTATTCCAGTCTCCTATTGGTGGCTTTTAGATGAGCATCACAGTAGCGATCACACAATGAGATTTTCAAACCAAAATTTCAGACAATGCTAGAACTTTCTTGTCAGCTTTCTTTGGTCCCAATGGCACTAAATTTGATTTTTTTTTTTTTATGATGTTCAAATTTTTTATGCGCCAGCAAAATCAGCTGAAAATCATGCAGTGTAAAGACAATGTTAGGCACAAATATCAAAAAACTTACTATACAGAGCAGTAAATCAAATCAAAATTCAGAGTGACCACCCTTTGTCTTTAAAATACATCAGTTCTCTCAGGCACACCGTCACGCAGTGTTACAGGAAAATCCGCGAGCAAGTTGTTCCAAGCATCTGTGAGAACCTGCCACAGTTCTTATGCACACTTTGGCTCTCACCTGCTTCTGTCACTTCAGGAAAAGTCCCAGAAATCATTAATGTTTTATTGGAAAAGAAGTCTATTACTGAACGTGTGACTTTCTTTAATTTCTCACCAATCAATCCATTAAATAATCTGATTACTTGAATACTTTCTCAGTCATAAGCTTTGCAAATTCTCAGGGCTTGTGCTTTTGCATCACACTGCACACTGACCAATACAGCAAGTGCTAAAAACAGTCCTTTAGAAAGGCAAAGTTTAGACTGCAGATTTAAAAAAAAAATGATAATAATTGTTGTGAGGTTGAAAGACGTTTAGAATGGGCATCCAAATAATATGTCAAAACAAAATTGTACATCTTGCTGTCGCTTCCTGTGGAAATTTTGGTCCTGATGCACTATGTGTAAAAACATAAAGTAACTTGATAGCTGCCAAAAAAGGCAAGCTCATTTAATAACAGGATCCACAGAGGATGTGTCTTTCAAATGAACAAAATACCACTTGTCCTTTTTGCATGTCTGTCTTAATGAATATGCCATTTGGGGCATTTCTACCTAAAGCTGAAAATGCACGTTGGTTTTGTCTATGCAAATGGATTTAGAGCTGCAATGTGATTTACCATGCCTGTAAATCCCTGCCAGAGCGGTGATTGCATTTGCAAATTAGTACAGTTGAAAAGGTATTTGGGGAAGCCTGTTTCAGATAGTTGAAGACAAAATTATATAATTAACTAAGTCTTAATAATGAGAAGGTTTATCAAGACCATGCCATAATCAGAAAGTTTTTCAAAATGATTACTTAATATTACTGTGGTAAAGTTGGGTTAAAGTTGGTTTCATTTTGGATAATCACCCCACGTTCGCAACTCTGATGCCAACGGCATATAAACAGAGTCTTGAAAAATGGTTCTTATTCACATATACCCTATTAACATAATGTTTGCTCATGTCACACTCTGACTTTATGTTATACTACAGCACTATTGAATTCTTGAATTGGACTTGTCAGAAGTCGTTGATTATTCTTCTATAACAACATGGCTAATTCACATTATAGGTTTATATTAACATACTGGTTAAAAAGAATGTCAGTAATAAATTAAAAATCGTGATCATTGGAAAAGTGCTGTAGTGCAAGAGGAATAAAACAATTTGTGATGTGTTGTTATAGGAAAATAATAAATTTTGGTGTGGTAACAGCTCTCTGCTCTGAGTTGGGCTGTATCACAACACCCTGTTGTGGATTATTTTTCTGTAACAGCATGCCCTGTGCTATATTATTCCTGCCTTAATATCAAATTTTAAACATTTTGACATGTATCACTGCCCTTAAAACAGAGTTTCAGTTTCAGTTTACTCTTCCCAGAGTGTCTTTGAGATCCACTTTCCTCCTTGTGATGTCATTTACCCAATTCTTCATTATGAATCACCCACAATTTGCTCACTAACCATGTTCAATTACTACTTGACATTAGAGATTGTATTAAATTAAAGCCTTGGTGTATGCTTTGGTAAGACTGACATCATTTAAGGCTCGTTAAAAAGCACAAGCAATGCAACTAAAACCTCTGCCAAGACACTGAACTTTAAACACTTACACTTACAGGACCCTTAAAGCTTGAATGAAGCTTGAAATTGTGATAATTTTGACACAAAACACCACTCCTTGCATGTGCATTTTTTTTTCATATTACATGCAATGTGGACATAACCTAAGATGTTGAACACCAGGCTCTGAGTTTCAGACACTTATAAACAGTTCATTCAGAATTTACCATGTGGCAGCAGGAATCAGCTTGCATGTACATGTGTGTATATACTTGGCTGTGGCTTGTGATTAAGTGGGCCAGTGTTTTGGTTGGCAGCTTGGGCAGACTGGCTAGTCTGTGGTGGAAAGGAGAGTAGTTCCTGACACCCCACCTCCTCATCTAGTGGGATCTCCCTGCTGCCAAGAGCAACATTACAGCATCAACTCCATGTGGGGAAAAAGAGGCCTGACAGTTTATGTGTAGAAAGGCAGTGCAAGGACTTAATTGCACATCTTAATCAGAAACAGAGTGACAAGAAATCCATCATAAGCCTGCAGAAACTGTGAAAAAAATGTCTCAGCATTCACTGGAAGAGGAGGCACGTGGAACAGAGACTCCTGCTAAGGTGGTCATGAAGTACAGAAAACAAAATCAAACAAGTACTATATGGTTTATATACAAAGCAGGCTCCATGGCATTGAAGGATGTTCATTTCTGACCCTTTGTCTTAGGTCTTTTTCACTCTTGAGTTATTTTCCGGACCCGGGGCTATGTGCCTGGGGAGTTCAGTACATTTGGTGGAGTGTGAAAGCCGTATTTGAGCCCGGGAGCAGTCCAGAGAACCTTATTCCCAGTCCTCTTGAAAACAGTGGTCTGGGGGCTTGCTTCAACCAAATTTTTTGGTGCGGTCTGCAATGTGTGTGGAACCTATCCACTCTCTGCAGATGAGACAGAACGCCTTATCAATATATGGTGCGAGGAAGGCATTCAGTAATATTAGAACAAAAAAGAAACTGTGTCAGAAAGATGAATGAGGATGTCAGGAAGCCCAACAGAAGAAATTACGAATCAACGTGTCGGTATAGGCCTAAAACACAAGCCTTTCATACGATTTTAGCAAGATTACTGTAATTTGATCACCTCTGTAGTGCGAGTGCTTGCACTAAGAATGTGAGAAAAATGCATGTCTCGTGGCAACCTGTATAGCTAAAAATCTTCATATACAAGTTTGCAGGGGACATGCCACGCATATGAAGACCACTGTTTGAGTGTTGGTACCAAATTCCATCTATTTTCCATACTGTTTATCCTACACAGGGTCGCAGGGAGCCTGGAGGCTATCCCTGGAGATGCAGTGCACAAGGAATGGGACACTCTGGACAGGGTGCCAGCCCATCGCAGGGCACAATCGCACACACATTCACATACTACAGACAGTTTAGAGATAGCAATCAGACTACAATGCATGTCTTTAGACTGGGGGAGGAAACCCCTGAAGCACAGGGAGAACAGCCAAGCTCCGCACACATAGGGTGGAGGCAAGATTTGAACCCCCAACTCTGGCAATGTGAAGCAAACATGCTAACCACTAAGCCACCCCGCCCCCTCTGGTAACAAATCCACCCCCACCCTGATGTGTTTTATAGCTCCCACAGAATAAAAAGAGCAAAGTGACTTAAAACAAAAAGGAACAGATGCAATTTGTAAATGTTTCAGCTGTGATTAGTGATAAAGGAGGGAGAATAACAGATTTTAATACAAACTGTAGACCATTGCTTAAACACAGACTGACTGACTAAGTGAGCGGATAGGTGGCTGATGGCTACCTCTATAACTGATTGGGAACTAGTAATCTGGTTAAGGGTAAGGTGACTTGAGCAACTCCACCCCCACCCTGATATGTTTTATAGCTCCCACAGAATAAAAAAAACAGAATTTAAAAATCAAATAAATGGACAAACTTAGTGCCTACCATTCTGCAAACCTGTGTGCACAACAACAATGTATGGAATTTCACAGTCGAGTCATGGTTCATAAGGAATTATGTTACATGAAAGCAAACCTGCAGATAAGAGACCCTCCCCCAAACAAGCCCAGAAATCATCCTGGGTGTGGACTGAATTATTCTTGCCAAGTGTGAAAATGCCTTTATGCAGGCTATTTAGTTCACGCACTATGCACTCCACTGTCTAACTGAAGTAGCTAACAAACAGCACTGCCTTTCACAACACTAAAAAAGGATCCAAGCATACAGACTGGATGAGAATAAGTTGTAATAAACACAGAAAAACACAGAGAAGAAATGCAAGATTCAGGATGTTCATATTCTCTGGAGATCACACTGAGTCAGTCACTGTGTCCTGTTTGACACTGAGATTTCCCATTGCCATACAACCATCATCACTCACAGTAAAGGGACCACAAGGCTCACAATGACGAGGGCAAACAACGACAGCGTAAAAGCGAGCATCCTCCTGGGTGGTTTATGAAGGCTGCAGCTTTCGGCATGCTCTATGAAAACTGCGAGCAAAGCGTTCCAGCCGTGTTGACACAGGAAACATATTTCTGTCAGCACTCCATCAATATTTATAGGCCAGCTCACACCAAAGGGAGAGGCAGTTAAACTAATCAACGGCCCTGCACTACTTTCTCACACACTAACAAGCACGCACACACACACTCCCACACACACTCCCACACACGCACACACACATAACTGAGTAGATGTGCATTGTGTGGGTGTGTTTTAATGCATGTTGCACTGGCCAGTGAAGGGAAATGAAAGCATAAGGAAGAGCTGATAATTATTAAAAGGTGTAGCATATACTAGCCACATTATCACCAAGGATAGCATGATAAGCACGTCTAACATGCCTCAGAAAGGACATACAGAACTGGCACTTTGCCAGTTTACTTCTATCCTGTCCTTTCTGATCACTATCAAGGGCAATGATAATGAAAAGTAAAGCACAGCTGGGATAAGGTCACTTACATGTCCGTGTGCTGTGAATTGATTTAAAACATACTAACATGGACATAAATAAAACAAATAACATCAGAAAATATAATACTACTATTATGTAGGCATAAGCATAACTGAATGCAAAAATTTATGGCAGTATATTCCCAATTTGTTTGGGTGTAAGCCAGTATTTATCTTCTCTCAACCAGTTGGTATTTTCATGTCTAGAATTAAATGCAACTGCACTAGCGTGGGTGGTGCTAGGAAACAGGTATTTACACATTTCCCTTCAAGCAAAGCTTGAAGTCTGTCATATACCTTACAAACTCATTTTTGTAGGCAAAGCTGGCACAAGAAATAGATTATAGAATCAACAGAACATCTAACAAAATTAATTAAAGACAAATCGCCAAATGTATTGCCATCATAGAGGTGAGGAATAAGCTGTTGTTCTAGAGCAGGAGTATTCGACTATAATTTGCAAATGTCCAGTTAAATAAAAGTTCTTGCTTACAAAAATCAAGATAAGCAACTAACATGACTGAATGGGGACAACAGTTACCTTTAAATGCTTAACGATTAATGATTAGTTTATGGCTACAAATAAGACAATTCAAAGTGGTTGCATAGTGACACTTCATGTTACCACTTCTGACTAGAGCCACGGACACTGAACAGATGGCATACCTGTTTAAATTTGACTTCTCTGTCCATTTGTCTTTAAATAATCTGTTATCTTTTTTTTTTTTTGCCCTGTCACAGGGCAACACACTCAGAGGAAAGCACTATCTGTCCTCTTCTGCATACATGAGCGCTCAGACATGTACAATTGGCTAGTGTCGCTGTGATTGACAGGGGAGGGCGAGTATGTCACCCCTCCCACTCAGAGAGCAAAGCCAATTTTGCTGTCTTGGACTCCCAGACAAGGATGACTGTGGCATCGTCATGATTCGAACTCATGATCTCCAGATGATATGACAAAAGCTTTACTGTTGGGCCACTCGGGTGCCCTATTGACTCTTTAAATAAGCCATGTCACCAGTTCACTGCTCAGACCCGAGAGGGTAAATAAAATGGAAAATCTATTGACGTCTTTGAAAACACTCCCCTTTCTGAGCTAACATCTCTAGGCCTCTAGAAAGTCTCTAGTCCAATGAACTATGGTCAGTTTTTTTTTTATTTTTATTTTTTTTTATTTGCTGTCTCTGCTACATTGTTCACATAAGTGCTTCATTCAGACCACTGAAATTTGTTGGGGCCGCATCCTGACTGCATTCTGACCCCTGTTCAAGAGGCTCACATAGAAAGAAGACAGAAAGCACATTATTTGTACGTTCTGTCCATCAGACAATTATTTCTACCACAAAAATATTGATACGGAGTCTTTAAGTGAAGTCATAGCATACAGGTGTTCTGCAAATCACAAAAATATACAGAATAACAGCTACCCCAAAACAATCTGCAATATTTTTGTGTTGTGTTACAATCACACAAATACAACAAAGAGCATGACACAGTTCTCACCCTGATTCCTTCTTTCTCTAATCTCTCACTCTTACCTGGTGATGAGGCAGCAGTCGTGGATTATGCTGTCCTCCACATACACTCCTCTCTCTTCATGTGTGTGTACAGGCCAGTGGTTATGGCTCCAGCTCAGAGTGATGGAGGGGTCCACGTATGATGCGGTGCACTGCAGTGGGAGTCTGTCACCCCGGAACACTAGCTGCCTCTGAGATGGGATCAGCTGAAGCAGAGGAAGCTCCAGAGGAGAGTCTGTAACAGAGGACAGTCTGTAATTATTGTGGTCCTAGACTGGACAGAACAACAAATGACCTACGGGGCCTCATACACAGATAAAAGACATGCAAATGACAAATGCACACAAATGTAATTTAACTAAATATTATATTATATTAGGTCAAATTTATAGTGAGGAGGTTACACTGAAATCACCTCAGATATAATCACAGACTTACGGTAATACAGTTGTGTGCATGGGTTGTAGTTGGGCAAAAAACCACTTGTGTCTCGGTTATGCACACTTCTGACCTTGAACATACAGTAAGTCTTTTTTTTTCTTGCACAAGCAGTAAGTTCAGCATCACGGTTTGGCAGGTTGTTATCAATTTGACATTCCTACTGTATACAGCAAATTAAAAGTACAAAAAGTACATAGACTACATTGTGCGCACACATTATGATATCATGTCCTTGATGTAGTATTTTGTGGCTACCTCAAATTCTGCACACAATGAGCTATTTTGGATCAAAAAGAAATATTGTTGTGCCCTGTTCAATCACTTCTGAGGCATCTCTGCCCAAGCTTTTTGCTTAGTGCCACTGTCAGTACAAAATAGTAGGCTTCTCATGTAGTGAACACAAATCAACATGCTAACTAGGATTCGTTCAGCTTCAATACATTATCAATATATCAGAATATTTTTAGCTATTTATTTGAATGTTTGCCTTCTTCTCGTTTGTAATTCATCACATTAATCTTTCACACTAAACGTTAAACATTCAACTGTCTCTCTTGTTTGTCTCATATGATATTTTATATATACATAACATATATAAGATTTTTTTTATATATAATGGTTGTCGTATTGAGTTTGCATATTCTAAATATTTTTTACTGACTTTCGTCCTTAAACATTCATTGTAAGTAGGTTTTGAGTCAGTTCTTTTCTCAGTACAGGGAACATGTTGAAATTATGGCCTGTGTTAATCACACATACAGTAACCACATGGTGCATTGTGTTTAGGCTGAAAACGCTGGAGTACTGCCTTAATTTCCACCTGTTGCAGTGAAGAGAGGATATGCAAGTGTGCGTGTGTCATCAGATCTGTGGGGTCTTCAGACACCTATAACATGTCAAATGAATTGATCTGCCAAGCTGGCAGAGACAAGTAAGAGAGAACGTGTTAAAGAGGTGGAAAGACCGACAGAAAGATTGAGAGAGCATCTGGCCTTGATGTGAGTGTCTGTTCTGCCCTGGCCAAGAGGACATGAGGATTATACCACTGTCGCTTGTGTGCTCACTACCATGAGTCTTATATCCTATTTGGAGCCTCATATGCTACTATCAGACACAAAGATGAAGCTTCTACTAATGCCAGAAACCCCACACGCCGGCTGTAACCTGCTCACCTCGAGACACTTGGCCTCGTGAGAAGCTCCATCTTTTATTTTCTATTACACTAATGTAATGCTTGGACGACACTCCATGTCTCGGCAAATGATACAGTGGTTTTGGATTTGACTGGTTTCCGCTCAAGTGCTCTGGAGTTCAGAAACACATTGTGAATGCGTAGTTAAGTGTTTTTTACACTGGGCCAAGGCTACACTTTGACCCTACAACATTGCCTACAATTAAGAAATTACCATAATCGTATACACTTATTTTTGACAGTTTTTGCCTTAATATAATACAAATCCTTCTCCATTGCAAACTTGGAATAGACAGAACACAGAAGGACCTGTGGCTTTTTTTGGCTGTTGCTCCTTAAAATTGCACAGAAAAAGAAATGGGGGAGAGCAAGAGAGCTACCTTCATCTCCTGTCAGAAGCTAGATGAGTATCATGCAATGACTGTGTTTTTGGGAACTAGAATGTGATGGTTAGAATGTGATGCTCTTAT